GCTTGAGACCTGTTGACCCATCTGCATTAACTTACAGTCACCGGAGTAAGTAGAGACAGCCAAGGAAAGTGGAGAAGACAGAGAGACGGCGACAATTTGAAGAAGACGAGAGAGAGAGCGAAAACGAGCGAGGGAGATGAGTGGAAGAAAAGTCCACGTCGTCGTGGCAACGGCGGCGTTGAGAGAGGAAGAATAGATGAGGCAAACATACATTTTTCATTATTTGAAGAGTAATGCAATTTGTAATCACGATTGACAAACATTAGTTTATGTGATAGTAAGATATAAAGATATTGTGATGCATTTTAGTTCATTCTATATATTAGGGCCTTGTTTGAGTGAGCTTTTAATCAAATTAAAATTGAAAATATAGTCGTTATTGAGTTTCACTCGTCTAATCAAAGTCAACAATAACGGTTATATTTTCAATTTTAATCTGATTTTAATTCCTCCCATACAAGCTCTAGATGCCGATGATGATCACCATTATTCATTATACGGGACCATGCGTGCACACTTTATAAAGGTTGGGGGAGCCTATGTGCTACATTTGTAGGTTAAGGATCCCATTGTCACACTTGACAAAGGTTGAGGACCCTTGGCCAATGACCCTAAACACTAGAAATTAAAAAGATGGAGATGATATCTACTACCCTAAAAATTGACCAATTTGGTACGATAGGAAAATTTATTGAGTTTTAGGCCACTTGTTGCTGATTGACTATTGCATCCCTACTTATTAGGAGCTATTTGAGCAGCCCTATTTTTTGAGAGAACAGATTTTGTAATGATGATTTTTTCAGAGAATATATATATATATATATATATTTTTTTTGAATTTATGTACAAAATTATTTTATTTAGAAAATGTGTAATTGAAAATGAGTTTGAAAAAATAAGTTTTTTAAAGAATTGGGCTCAAAAAAGGGGGCCATGCACCCTAACATTATTGCCATAAGTTGTGTGTAGTTTATACTCTAATTGAGCGTCATAACATCTACGTACATACATTTGTCATTATAATCTTGTAGTTAATTATTTATTTTTATTGTGAGCGTGTTAGATAGGTGAATAAGTAACCTCGAGAGCCCCATGTGTGAATAGGAAAAAGAGATCTTTGGATGTCTCGTGTGCAGTATGTGACACTATTTTGTCGCTCTGTGTGAATGGGAAAAAGAGATCTTAGGTAAGGAACCTTTTAGACATAAATCATCATTAGAGACAAAATGTGTGAATTCCCTTTCTAAAATGACTTTTTTACCGTTATTTGAGACCACGCGCGCACACTTTATAAAAGGTTGGACCCTTATGTGCCACGTTTCGTAAGTTGGGGATTCAAGTGCTATACTTGACAAAGATTGAGGACCCTTATTTTAGTAGATTTTTTTGATAAAATATATGATTAAAAAGTTGATTTAAAATTGTGGGTTCCATGAAATATACAATTGAAAATGAATTTTTGAAAAAAAAAAAAAAAATAGTGGTAGCAAAATCTACTACACAATTTATAATAATATTTTTGTAACACTGTTTTGTTTGTTACCTTATATATGTTTCTAATTAGGGTCCTGTTTGGTACACATTATTTTTTTCATTCTCATTTTTCTACTCATTTTTAACCACACATTCTTCAATAAAATAATATTTTTCATCACATTAATAACTTTTTCTTTATTTTTAATCACACATTCTCCATCAATCTACTATTCAATAATACATTCTTTCAAAAGAAGGGGTTCCAAACACACACTAGAAAACTATACGGTCGTTAAAATTTCATTTTCCATCTTCCTCGAAGCTGAATTCCCATTTCTCCCCCATTCTATTCAACAGCACTACTTTACAGCAATGGCCACCGACTCCAGATCTGAAGCCACTGCCGCCAATGGAACCGAAAACCCTGTTCCTTCTCCAACACCATCACTTCAATCCACCCACAAAATCGCCTTGATCACAGGCATTACTGGCCAAGATGGCTCCTACTTGACCGAATTTTTGCTTAACAAAGGCTACGAAGTACATGGCCTTATTCGCAGATCCTCCAATTTCAACACCCAACGGATCAATCACATCTATATTGATCCCCACAATGCCCACAAGGCCCGGATGAAGCTCCACTATGCAGACCTCACTGACGCCTCCTCCCTCCGCCGCTGGCTTGATATCATCCAGCCTGATGAGGTTTACAACCTTGCCGCACAGTCCCATGTCGCAGTTTCTTTTGAGATTCCGGATTACACCGCCGATGTAGTGGCTACTGGGGCTCTTCGTCTTCTGGAGGCGGTCCGGTCCCACATATCCGCCTCTGGAAGATCTCATATTCGGTATTACCAGGCGGGTTCGTCTGAGATGTTCGGATCCACTCCTCCACCGCAGACGGAGTCGTCTCCGTTCCACCCCCGGTCCCCTTACGCGGTTTCTAAGTGCGCCGCCCATTGGTACACTGTCAATTATCGCGAAGCGTATGGAATTTTTGCGTGCAATGGGATTCTGTTCAACCATGAGTCCCCCAAGAGGGGCGAAAACTTTGTGACCCGGAAGATCACCCGGGCAGTGGGGCGGATCAAGATCGGATTACAGAGCAAGCTCTTCCTGGGGAATTTGCAGGCCTCGAGAGATTGGGGTTTCGCGGGTGACTATGTTGAAGCAATGTGGTTGATGCTACAGCAAGAAAAACCGGACGACTACGTGGTGGCAACCGAAGAATCTCACACGGTGGAGGAATTCTTAGAGGTAGCGTTTGGGTATGTGGGATTGAAATGGAAGGATCATGTAGTGATTGACAAGAGGTATTTTAGGCCGGCAGAAGTGGATAATTTGAAAGGGATTGCAAGCAAGGCCAAGAAAGTACTGGGATGGAAACCCAAAGTAGGATTTGAGCAGCTTGTGAAAATGATGGTGGATGAAGATATTGAATTGGCTAAAAGAGAGAAAGTTCTTGTTGATGCTGGCTATATGGATGCCCAACAACAGCCTTGATTGAATCCATTCAAAAACAGCCTTGAATTTCTTTCTTTTTCAATTGTTAGTACTGCTGGTTTAGCTAATGTTTTTTATTAATTCCAAATTCAGTAGAATTTTTGGATCATATCTTGGTAATATTGTTGTTATGTTTGCTGTTTCTACATTTTAGTATTTGGGATAATCCTACAATTCACTGAGTTAATAATTTATTGATTATTTCCATGGTATACTAGTTTATTTATTGGTTATCAGCTTCTTTTTAATATAATTTCAAGATGCATATAAAAAGAAAGATTTAGCATTTATGCTCTTCTGATGCTAGATATCATTGAACTTAAATTAGAAATTCATTTTATTATTAATGAATGTTTTTGTTACACTTGTGTTGGCAACTGTTTGAACTTAAAATCTACTCCATCTTTCAATCAATAGAAACACTTGTTTTCTTACAAAAACAAAACCTAATCAGCGGAGTCTGGTCGTCCATGGGGAAGGGGTCAACCGTTCTCGATTTTAGGTCAAGTTAGAAGAGTGTAGTAACAAGATAAAAGTTACGAAGAAGGTATACTTCAAAGTGGGATGATCCCAGAGCATATTTATGTACATGAAAATGATAGCGAATAGGTAAGATGTGAACATCACTCGTTCGATCATTGTCATGTCCTATCGTTATCCGCTTTCATATAATAATCAATCTATAATAATATGTCGGTTTATGCTCGGCTAAGACCGTTATGGTCAGCTCCAGCTCGCCATGTCCACTATAGCTCCAGGTCGGGTCAGTTAACTAATGAAATATCAGTTGCTTTGTTAGCTCTCATTGAATCGTCTCACCATGTATCCACCATATAAATATTGGTAAACTGGTTCTCAGTTCAGTTTGTAATGCTGGGATTGCTTGGTTCCATAGTATCACATGACTTGTATGATAATTCCGAGTAAAAAAGTCATTTTATTAATGTTATCACAGCAATGCTAATGGCAAAGTGATCATTGGTATATGTAAAACAAATCGCCTATTTGGAACAAGATTAAGAAATCTTGAAAAACATTCCAATGATGCATAGAATATGAGACTAATTTCATCGTCACATAAATCGGTGCTAAACGAGTAACATTAGCCATCCAAGGACTGAGGTGTAATAAATACTCACTCACAGGTGACCGACACTCGGTCATGAGACACTGGCATGTGCACGCTATGGATACAAATGATCATAAACTTTTCTCTGGAAAATAATTGACAATGTACGAACTTGTCATTGCCTATCCTCAAATTAATAATGGTAACCAACATGGCATATTCAAATAGTAACAACTCAAAAACATTTGATCTTGTACAATTGTCAGCCCTTACAACCACTTAAATTCCTGATAGACATGGCAGACAAAACATTTCATTGCTTAAATCATATACGTGTTCTCGTTCAGCAGCCTTCTATAATGTATTTTGTGACAAGAAACATGTACAAATACAAATAGATAAAGCAAAAAAAAAGAACTAACTGTCCTGCTGTGGCAATTGATTCGATTCCTGTGCATGTAGTTGCATAGACGACGAGACAGAGTTGGTCTTTTCGTCAACAGAGGCTACTGTAAAAGGCTTGATTGAAGATTGTAGTGATTCTGGTCCCTCTGTAGCAATTCTCTTGCATAACGAGTCGCAATTGCTAATTACCTCAGTCAATTTTCCTTTCAACTCTCCGAGCTCCACTTGAAGTGCATGGACTTCATACAATTTGAGAAATAATGTTAATAGCAGCACTGATGCAAATCTCGTGTAACGCAGTATCAGTATTAACAATTGAGAAATCTTTGCTAGGCCATATAAAGGGCATTAGTTACAATTAAAGGAAAAATTGCATCATTATTCTCCAACCTATTGCCCGAGTAACAAGTTGAGCCTCAAACTTCCACTATAGTAGCACAATCAGTGCCCAACAACTAAAAAGGTCCGAATTCGCATTAAACCATTCAAAGATCTTCCTGGAAACATGTTCCACTTTAAATTTCTGGATTACCAACCCAAGTAGGACAACAAAATCTAGCTTCAAAAAGTTGAGTATTTGAGCGCCATGATATAATTTAACCGAGATTTGGATGGCTTCTGTCGTTGAAAACTGATTGTGCAACTATAATAAAAGGCTGAGAACCAATTTGGTACTTGGGCAATAGGTTAGAGACTAATAATACAATAAACCCTTCATATGGCACTGAAACAAGAAGCACAGCAGAAACTCAAAACTCTCTGTTCACTGTTCAGGTAAATACCAAATTCAACCGTCAGAACTCTTAAACAGAGATTATGTTGTTTTCAGGTCAATTCCTTTCATTGATGCATATAACAAGTGATAGCTAACCAATTTTACCATGCAATGAGGCAACCCTACATAACTGTTTCTCGGATTCTAGCTGAATGCTTCGAGTTACCTTCTGACAGATGACGAGAGGTTGATTTCATTGCAGCGACCGAATAATTGAAACGTTGAAGAAGCTTAACTGTCAAAGCATCTGCAACTTCTATTTTGTTTTCAATCTCTTCCTATGGAACCAAAAGAAATTGATGTATTCAGGGTGAATATAGCAAATATATCCTTTTTTCAGTTTTGAGAATTAGCTAAAATGCAAGATAAAAAGCTATAAAACATGACATACATTCAAAATTTTACATGAACTGGCAATATGTATTACAAAGATTCTAGAGCCACAAAGTTGAATAATTACAGATTCTTCGAGAATCAGCACATCTATCTTAATGATCAAGAATAGGTTCAGCTGTCATATTGCAAGTTGACAACCATTAAACAGCTGAGAACTAAATGAAACTTCCTGTTCCAAGGTACATTAGCTACTTGCATTTAATTTAGATTCAGAATTAATTTAAAAATGCAGTAGATGAATATAAGATGAAGCAGTATGCATGCATTAGTTTCAAGCTCTATATATAACTTAGTCTAACAATTCCTTGACTTTAAAGCAATACTTGAGAGGTAGAATGGCAGTGTAGATGATCCATTTTCCATTAGTAGAGCCTCTGATTCTAGAATTAGTAATTAAACCCGTTGCATTCTCTTTACAATTATTAAACAGGTACATAATTCATATTCCAATGTCTCACATGGTCTTGTTTTATCTAAATACACATCATTACCACTCAAGACCATGATTCTGACCTGAAGCTGTACACGTCTCTCTGTCTGAAGTACACGTGCATTCCTAATATAATGGTAATACCAGATCTAAACATATCTTTGTGAAGATAATAATTGTGTCAATCATAGAATTATAAGAATCATGGCAGAGTCAGTCTGTCCTATGCCTACGTCATATGGCTGAAGAGATCACAAAGACCCATTCTCAAAGATATGAACTCGAGGGCACCTGTCTATGAATAATCTTTTGGGCCTTCTTCTCTTGCCAGTCACGGTACATCGCAAAGAGCTCCAGTAGAACATTAGGGTTTACATTACCTAAGACATGCAAATATCATATTAACCATAAGAAAGGAACAAGATAGAGGGGGAAAAAAGAAAGAAAAAGATGACAAGGAATAATATTTTATGCACAAACTGTTATGCATGTGAAGCTTCCAAGTTTCCTTTTTTGGGTGAATGATCCAAATTTTGTGTATTATTCTTGACAAACAGTAATACATTAGCCAAGTTGAAGGCTACTGTAAAAATTTAAAATATTTTATCCCTAAGAATTTATGTCTAAATAACATACGGTTAATTACACTCTTGTGGAAAATCTCAGGACATTGTCTTAAGACAGTTTTTTACATTCATTAAATTTACTAAAGGGCGTGATAGTTAATTTTTATGTTCATCACTTTATGATTTTTAATGAATCCATAGAATCATAAGGAGAACATTATAATCATGTAAAGAATATCAATGCATTACTTTGTAATACAAATTTTCATTGCTGGATTATAATTCGAGCGTTTATTATCTTAGAAAGTGATGAAGATTTTGTGTTCATCATTAATTTTATATTATCTTTAATTTTAGTCTTTAACTAGATTTAGTATTAATGAAAATCGAGTCTTTATCATTCATTTTAGTAATTATTTTTAATTTTAGTCTTTATCTAGTTTTTAGTTATTGCTTTAAATAAGGGTTGTTAGCCATAATGGAAGAAAATTGGTTTTTGAATTTAAATAAAATAGACTTCGGAATTTTCCAATCTCATAAATTCTCGATATTTAATATTTAAAATTAACGAGTCCAAATTCTCCGTATTCTTGCTCGAATCAAAGAGTTTTTGATGTCCAAATTTCTCGTATTCTTAGAAATCATCATAAACTAGAAGGTGATCATGTTGAAATATTCCTTTGAAACGAGGAATTTCGATAGCGCTCGTTCATCGTTTCTACGCTTCTGTCCCTACATCAGTTGTAACGAATCACATATTGAAAACAATTGTCCAAGAAAAATTCAATATGACAGCTATAGATGGCATAAATCCATACTTTTGGTCAATGACTTGTCTATAAAACATGACAAAATTTTGGGGAGGAGGCAACAACTATGTCCTCAGTTTTGGAACACTTGTTTTTCAATCTTGATATTCAAGAAATATGGTTGATTGAGAATGGAATAGCTATTCATGTGATGATAGATATGCAACTTTTAATGAAATGGAACTAAGCAACTAATGAGCATTTCATAGAGCTATCAAGTAGATTGTCCTTGTCACGAGAAATTGGATGACGAACACAATGCAAGATTTGATGATGAATCTTAGTCAACTGAAGGAGAATGATGAAGATTGAGTCTTCATCATTAATTTTATTATTATCTTTAATTCTAGTATTTATCTAGATTTAGTCTGGATGAAGATTGAGTCTTTGTCATTAATTTTAGTTATTATTTTTATTTCAGTGTTTATCTAGATTTTAGTTATTGTTTTAAATAAGAGTTGTAAGTCTACTGGCAGGAAATTGGTTTTTGAATTTCCCAATCTCATAAATTCTCATTATCTGATAGTTAAAATCAACGAGTCCAAATTCTTTGTAATCATGCTCGAATCAAAGAGTTTTTGATATTTAAATTTCTAGTACTCCTAGGAATCAACATAAACTAAAAGGTAATCGTGTTGTAGTATTCTTTGGAATCAACAAAACTTCGATAGTGTGCTCGTTCATCGTTTCTACGCTTCTACTCCTACATTAGAAAGACTAGGTTATGATGTACAATTGTACATCTCTCTGATCACTCAAGTGAGATGACAAGTTCCATGTAGATGTCAAAGTAATCATATGGATATGTGGATGTGGATGTTTGTTAGAGAACAAGTTTGCAGAATTTACTACATAATAGGACTGGTCACAGAGGAGCTCAATCATTGTCAACCACTCATCCTATCCAGTGGTTGTGCACCTGATCCTCTTAGATGAGGCGCTATGGTCGCCTTGTCAAAGAGTCACTATAGCTTATTATAAAAAATAGCTTTGCTCTTAATGCCAGCTTTCTCAAACCTTATCTTTCATGGTACATTCATGCATGGAGACATGTAATTGTACATTATGCCCCTATTTGAGCCACATTATTTTTTCCATTCACATTCTTCTACTTATTTTCAATCACACATTTTTCAATAAAATAATATTTTCCATCACATCAATAACTTTTGTTCTTTTTCAACCACATATTCCCAATCACATCACTTCAAAAAAATGCATTCTCTCATTTTAATATGCACCAAACACACTCTAAGAAGTTTATCACCCAATCTGCATAAGAATGTCCTTTGAGATCTAACAGTGAGCGTAACTCTAAAATCCTTGGCCAATGTAGACAAAAATTAGAAGTTACAGAAGAAACACTTTGATTGATTGTATCATTAAATTTGTATATTTGACATATGAGCATGTCTTCATACAATCGGGCGGCAGTATAATGGAAGGATTATAATACTCGTTAACCTACTGGGAAAAGGTTCTAAGAATATTCATTCATAACTATATAGGTGGCCATCACTTACATCTAGGTGATACTCTTGTCCTATATGAACCTTAAAGATGGCCGGAAATTTCTGGATTGAAGGACATGAGAAAAGAGATGTTTAAAAAGTTTAACGTCATATCATATGGACAAATGGTCATGAACCTAATTGGTCAAACAATGCAAAGGAGTGATGGAACTCAAAAAAAAAAAAAAGCAGTGGTTCTAAAAGAGTTTGGTATGTCCAAAAGGGTTTTGGATTGTTTGAAATGGTTTTGAACTGCGATTAGAAATTGTAAAATCTTAATATGCACAAGATCTTTGGACATGTAGAGGATGCTTCGGACACCCAGACAGGTTTTGGCACCAAGCAGATCACCTAAGGCCTAAAGGTTGTTTCAGGTCAATGGACAAAGAATAAAACCTAAAGGGCTTCTCACGTACCAGGACTTATTATGTCTCCTAAGAGTGATACTGGACATTTAAAGTGAAATTTATACGTTTCGAGTTCAGATTCAGACTTACAAGTTATACCGTTTCCTATCAGTCTATATCGAATTTATGTTATTTATCTACTAGGACTAGAAACTAATTAGATTTGTTTCTGTCCCTAGTCTGGTATGTGCATGCAATATGAGATACATATAAAGATTAATGAGAAAAACGAAATACAGAGCACTGAACAGAAACAAAGCAAAACAAACCAAAAACCTTTACCCTAAATGTTCATCACTAGACTTTATTGACGTGATTAGCGCATGAGGGTTGAATGAAGGATGAAAAGATATAGGGTTCCTTAGGCTTCTCATGTGGATATCATTAGAAGCATCTTACTTGTGGAGCTATTTTCATGAATCAATCAATCATCAACTAGAGATTTTAAAGCAAAAATTTAGCCACCCACTTAAACTTTTAATCAATGTCTACTTTAAGGGTCTAAACCATTGTTTTGAATAGGCAAACACTACCTCCCAGTTCAACCATATAACCAGGAAATGGACCGACAACCAGTCAGGTAGTTAATTAATAACCCTTAAAAAGCAGTCATATGACTGGTTTAATCGTGACCCGGGTGAACCAGCTACAGTTCTCTTGAATTTTCTGGTTCTCATAACAAGAAAAAACAAAAAAAAAAGCCCCAAGAATTATATTTTCTCAGGACAAATGCTCACCTTCAGGTTGCAGATTCTCAAACTTAGTGGGCTGCTCCTTTTATAGCTATTTTCTCTCTCATCCCAACTCTCCACTTTCAAAGTTAGTCAACACAATACCCCAGCATTTGCAAGAAATGAAACACTTCTCAAGTCTTCACTAACCAATTCAGTTGCAATTCACTCATTTTCTACAGCTTTAAACATTTTTTTTATTCAAGTATATCATTTGGACAAATTGATTTTAGAGATGTTCAATCAAATTAGAAAATTATAACCTTTCTATTAACAAAGATGAATTGGCATTTACTTTGAATTAGTCATGTGAAAATTTAACCATAATATTGTTGTTAAATTGTTTTTGCACTATATGTAAACATTTATTGATTTATTTTTTTACCTCTGCTTCAACTATATTTGAACTTTTTGACACTTGACCCTATACCTTTTCTCAGGGTTTGAAAACATTGGTCTAAAAAAAGTTGTCATCCACTGCATCTGCATATCTGCAGCCACCCAAATAAAGATGGGATGACAAGGCCAGAAGCCACTTCTCGAAACTATCAATAAACTGTGGGAATCAATTCTGTTAGGAAGATTCCATTGATAGTATAGTAATTTGATGCTATCTTATCATGCTTTAAGTTTTGACCCAAACAATGAGATAATATTATGAAAAGTACATATAACTTGATAATCAATTATAAATCTTGGATTCTAAACACTCCCCCGAGAATATTTATACTTCAAAACCATAGAAGATACACAAATAATACAGTCACATCTTGAAAAATTAATTATAAAAGAATATTTTCTGATACAACTACGCAATCAGTTGTCCTAGTAATAAGAAATGGGGATTATTACATATAAAGTCCTATTATACTTCAATTGATAAAAAGGATCTACTGCGCAAAAGAACATGTACATTATGCAGAATCAATAGATTTATTTCCTAGTCCAAGCACACAAAATACACTTGTAGTTCCATAGAATGATTTTATCTAGAGATATTTTTTCTTTGAAATTTCACTTATAAGGCATCTACATCGAGATTGTAGATAACTGTGTTAATAATGACAATTTTTTCGTTACAATCATAGTTGACAATCTATCCTATCCAACTCTCTCTTTATGGTTTTTTTTTTTTTTTTTTAAATTTCCTCAAATGAACAGAAACTCGCTTATAAGGCATCTTCATTGAGAAATAACAGTGTAGTACCACTGACAACTCTTTCTTTTTAATCACAGTTGACAATCTATTGTTATGATCATATCCAACTTCAGTCCCATTCCCAACAAAACAATTCATCACAATATTTTATGAAGTCCCCATCAAATTCTAAAAATATATTTTCTACTTGAAGATAAATTTGTCTTAAATAATCATTATCTTAACAAGTAATATATTCAAACTCCTTACATATATTATAGATTTAATAGTCAAATCTTCCACTATCTTGCTGTTTTCTTTTACAAGGGGACAAAGCACCCCTAGGATAGAGATTGGTTTAATTGGAAGCCAGGGTCGTTGTGGTTCTTGTTGAGAGAACGAAGAGACATTTGTTGGAGAGGAAGGAAGCTGAACACCAAAAGGATATATAGCGTGAATGTAAACAGGCGAGTTAAAATAATTTCATCAAGTGCAGAAATATGAATAATGAACAATAAACCAATACATGCACGTATACACACATACACATACGTATTTCACTTATAACATCACTCATAATGCTATAAAGGAGTCTTCAAAATAATAATTAATTTTCGAATAAGAATATTAACTTTGGTGCTTGAATGGAGTTGGTTCTTGAAATTTAATTAATACAAGAGGTTACGAACTGGAAGAGGTGTCAACTGTATAAATGTCGAAATTGAAAGCACATATACATACATAAGTACGAACATGCATCTTTCGTTTTGAACGTAAGGTAGATGCATGCACGTATAAATTTATAAATCATTTACTAAAATCCTTTAATGATCTCATTAAATCCCTGTTTGTCTCCCATTCTTTTAGAACACATTTTTCTACATACTTATTTTCAACCATATACTCGCACAATAAAATATTCTACATATAAATTCAAAACTTTTCCCCACTTTTTAACTACACATTCTCCAAAATTTCACTATTCAAAAAATGGTCACCAAATAGGGGCTAAATAATTAAAACTACACTCTTTACTGTTGATATCAACCACAAAAGAATACCCAGTCCACTCCCCTAAAAGAACAGTAAAATGGTTCTTAGTTCTCTCCTGAAGCATCATAATATCCCCAATAACCCAACAAAACCCATTTTATTTATGCACATGAAGCTTTGTTCCCATGACAAGTGATGAGTGTGACACTCATGATATTTATGCTACTTAACTTGATAATTTGTTAAATTTTAAGAGTTTTTGGAACGATTTGATGTGTGTTTTAATATTGTGTTGTAAGTTTGGCGAATTGGTGAAAAAAGGAGTTTAATGAGCTAAAAAGGAAGAGAATGTGAATCGGCATTAAAGAGGCATGGAAGTTTGTAAAAGAGGCGAAGAAATAAGCTAGGTTGAAGAAGAAAAGGGCGAAAATCGACTGAGAGAATCGACGCCCCGGCACCGGATCTTGATAACACAATTGCAAACTTTGGGCACTGCAGCGCCAGCTAAGTGGTGCCCCGACGCCACTTCAAGGTGAAATTTCATCACCGCCGCCCAGCGCCATGGTCGGGGCCCCCCAATGCCAAATAACAGAAAAGAATTGCAAGAGGTGGGTGCCGCAACACCTGCCATAAGGCGCCTTAGAGCCAATTCAACTAATATCGCGGCGCCATGATTGTAGCGCATAGGCGGCAATGAGAGAAATTCTAATTTTGTTGGGACTATTTTTAAAACCCAATCCGACCCCCAAAACTCTTCGAAGGACTTCAAGATGATATAAATACAACCCTAGAGATCACTCTTATCTACAATTCATCGAGGCAAAAGGCAAGAAAGCAATCAAGAGAGCAAGAAGAATATCAAGAAGAGGATTGATTCAAGATCAAAAAATCAATTTTTATTTCTCTTCTTCTTTTCTATGTTATTAATCACAATTTCTAAATTTCCTTAATCTATAATCATGTACTAATTTCTATATCTAGGGTTTGATATAACCAAGACTTGAGATTATGTTTTAATTTTAATTAGTAATTTCTTTGAGATTTTTCATTTTGTTTATTTGTGTTATTTGAGTTTAATGCTTTCAATTAACTGGTTATTAATTGAATGATTGGATTGTTTAAGTTTCGACACTCGAGAGAGGGAAACTTATACTTGATCTTAAAATAACACAGCCTAGGAAATATAGATTTCGAGAGAAAGTATAATTCCTTTGAAGTCGTTTCGCATAAGAACCAAGAATTTGATAATTCTTAGATATTTAATTTGGAATAGAGATATTGAAATTGAATTCTAGAAATAGTTTTTACAAGGTACTGGAGAGGAAGTAAAATTACATTAAGGTTCTTACTTATAAACTTAGGAAAATTGATTGAAGATAACTATATAATTGAGAAACGTAGTCGATAGTTAGATGAAATGGCAACCCTAGTCTTTCTCATATTGATAAATTCTTCTAAATTGCATATCGATCGTTGACTCAGTCACCATATTCACCGTAGAATTAAATAAAAAACCATTGATACTACATTTCAATTGTCTAGATAAAATAGAAGTTATTCAATTATAGTACTTAGTATAAAATTGATATACAATCCATGTGGGTTCGACATCCTACCTTAATCGTTATATTACAAAACTTGACATTGTACGCTTGCAGTATAATTGCGGTGTAAAAAGCGCGTAACAACAAGCTCTTTTAGGGTGTGTTTGTCTCCAATTATTGAGAGAAAAATAGAGTAATGAATAGTATTTTTTGGATAATGTGAAGTTGAAATTTAAAATAATTTTATTGGTTTGTGTGTAGAATATTTTATTGGGTGAATGCGTGGTGGAGAATCCTACTGTAGCAAACAATTTTTTGAAATAATGGTAGACAAACAAAGGCTTGATAATGTAAAGAAAATTTTCAAATAAAGGTGGAAACTTTAGAACCAAATTATTTTCCCTATGATTAAAAAATTCTCTAAGCATATAGATGTTATTTAGTGTGAGTGATAAGTCAATACTCCTAGAATGAGTCTAGTCAAGATTACTTGGTTTCAGATATAGGAGTAAAGTTGGAAATGATGATAACAATGACTTATAAACCAAGATTATGAGAGATCAGTTGTTGCCTTGTTGGTAGGAAAAGAGTTCGCTAGTATAGTCATAGAGGAAGAAGCTTAAGAAAATTATGATTTTCGTATTGTTCCAAAAAATTCAAGGAAAAATAACACAACACGCAATCAAGTAGTAGTTCCAAAGCACACCAGGAGTTTCTAAACCATTGGTTACACTTTATTATTTAGAGCAAAATGATATTATACAATCAAATGCATGGCGGTTGTTTGAACTTCAAATGAATTTTTCATGTTTGTATTATAATGTACATCAATTGCTTTTACATGCCCTATACACCACATATAAATGTAAATGCTCAATTAAAGGTGTGGCTACTCTCAAGGCTTTGAGTACACATTGGAGGCCATCAAATTGGTAAGATTTTTTTTATACTGATGTCAGGGGGAAATGTGTTGTACTCTTCTTTTGACATTTAAGTTAATTCTCCAAGCAAAATATTCTTTTCGACATCAATTCCAGTTTTTAAAAATTTTATAGCTACGTCTTATACTTAACAAAAATTCCATCCTACGTAAGATGAATGCCAGAAATTCCAGTGCAAACATAGAAACATCATTCAGAATGACTCCAATTATTTTGTTGTAAAGTTTTTTATCACAAAATTATCATATTTGTTAATAGTCATATGAAGTCTCTTTATTGCTCCCATACTTTTAGTTTTTATCTTTACTTAAATTGAAAAACCTCTAGGCATCTAGAGCTAATAGCAACAGTTTCTATACATTTTTATGTGTAAAAAGGTTTAATTTTTAATTACTCATTTAGCACTTTAGCTACGGGTTGAATTTGCATAAGATACCATAATTTCATCTTAGCTTCATTACTGCCTGGACAATAAGAACAGATAAAACTCACAAAAGACTACGAAAAATAAGAAATTCTTCTGAAGAGAGCTTCAAAAATAGTAAAATCAACACAAAAATAAAGAAAATGGAAGAAAAGAAAAAATGGATAAAATACCAGAAGTTGAGCTAGAAGATGGTTTCCTGACCAAAATGTCAGTCAAGCTACTCTCTGTCGGCGCTGAGGTCAGTATCGGCGTTGTCTATTCACAAAAGATAATTATAAACAACATCAATAATTACCGCAACTAATAAAATTATACACTTTGGCAACCAATGAATGAATCAATTGGGAAAAAAATAATAATAATGAAAGCTTACAATTTTGAGGGATTGAAGCCTCTCCAAAATGGGGTCGACGCCTTGTGTACGCTCGGAGACGGTGGTGATTCCATCATCGGGATTCTTACCAAGATTAAACTAAGAATGCAAAAAGTAAATTCAGAAAAAACGAGAAACACTAACTGATAATTAAAAAATTCATTGAAAAGTATGGAAAATGGATTGAAATTGCAGAGTTAAATTTTTACCTGGGAACCTAAAAGAGATGATTCCGATGCACCCATGGATTAAGGAAAAATGCTCCACTGATGACTCAAGAACTGCACGTCTCATATTATTACAATAATTTGGAAATACTCCACGGTAATATATTTTGGGTTATTTAGACAATGGGCTCATGGGGCCAAGATAGGATTTTGGGTTATTTAGTAGGGAAAGTTTGATATTCAACAGTTTAAGCATGACTCCTCAAATTTCAGAAATCAGATATTATTAAATTTTATTTATGAAAAAATTAATTAAATATATTAAGGTCACAATTCTATACAATTTGATCACAAATTATCGAATTAATTATTTACAAATTATTTCTCGATCATAAATCGAAATTTTATGTCACGAATTATTTTTCAATCACAAATAAAAATTTTTATAGATTACAATTTAGTCATAGATCACTAAATCAAAAATTTAGAAGGTCACAATTCATTTATTAGTCACAAATCACAAATTTTATATATCATAACTTATTTAACGGTAAAAAATTATCAAATTAATTTGTCTCAAATTCTTTCTCGATTACATTTTTTAGGTAACATATTATTTATTAATCACAAATCAACTAATTTATTAGTAACAATCAATATATTTATTGGTTACAAACACTTTTCGTCCCACTCGATCGTCACCGCTATCACCAACACCATGTCGCCGCCGTCACCACAGTGCTACCGCCACAACCAACAAGCATTCCTCCACACCACCATTTGCAATACATAGTACTAATAAAATCAACCCAACTACCACCAACACCGCCTTACTACCACTGCCATCGCCATCACCAACACAACACCGCCGCCGCTACGACCACCACCACAAAAAACACCTCACTACCATCAACAATACCACAATAGCCACACTACCATTTGCAATGCACAGTATTCAGGCTTTTAGATTGCCGCAACTACCACAGCCACGTTGCTCAGATCAGTAACATGAACTCACGCTTTCAATTCAACTACCATAGCCTCGCCGCTCAGATCAGTGCAACTTAGTGGCATCGCTGCATGTTGCGCTCAAATTAGCGCCACAACAACGTGGCTTCTCTATAGTAGGAAGAGAGAGAGACGGCACGGCGACGTAGCGTGTTTCTTTGCGATGGTGCGGTGAAGAGAGATGTCGGCGATTGACGAGAAGAGATAAAAAAGATCGATGAGAAGAAAGAGACATGAGATCAACGGTAGTGCGGTTGCATCGCTTGCGCTGCGCTGAGCGCTACCCCTCATCATCGATGAGAGTACAGAGAGATTGTGCAAAAAACAAGGATGAGAGAAGAGAGAAGGAAGGGAGAGTTGGCTAGAGAGAGAGAGAGAGAGAGGAGATTGAGAAATAATTAGGATTTGAGATGATAGATGGTAATGGTAATGGGATGGATATGTAAAATATTTTTTATAAAATTGCTATTAATATTTAGAATTTTAATTATATTTGATTTTTGAAAGAAAAACTAGTAACTCTTAATTATGAATTGAGATCTTGAAAATACTTAGTTCCTATAATTTACATTTTTTAGTAAAGTAATGTCATTTCGGCTGTCACTGATAGAATATTGGAATTCAGGTCCATCTTTGAAATTTTGAGGGTCCTATACGAAAATCAAAAAAGTAATCTTCTTTAAGCCCCTGTTCAATGGGGATTAAAATCAGATTTTTGTAGATCTTGATGAAAGTAGATGAAATGTGTGGTTGAAAAGTTGTGGATCCCATGAAATGTAGAGTTAAAATCAGTTATTGACTTTGATGACTTAAATTAAAAAATGAATTATAATTTATACCAAACATGGGCTTAATTTAGAAACACAAATAAAAAATAATAAAACTATTATATTAGGGGTCTGTTTGAACCTCATTTTTTAGGTAGAATGTATTTTGGAATAATAAATTGATGGAAAATGTGTTGTTAAAAATAAAGTAAAATCTTTTGGATTGCATGTAATATCATTTTATTGAAAAATGTATGGTTGAAAAAAAAAAAAGAGAAACATGTATTTTAAAAAAATTGGGATCAAACAAGGTCTAGTTTATCAAATATAAAGCTATTACACAATAAATATATATAATAGTGTTATTTTACAAATAGTGAAAGAGAAGTATAAGTAGAATACTTATGCTTGAAAGTAGTTTCAAAATATTTGAAAACTTAAATGTTTGAAAAAATGCATCATATCAACCACCATCGTCAAGTAATTCCATATGAGTAAACTTTTGGAAAAAAAATATCACATACATCAAGAAATATCATGTATAAACCTTAAAATACTGTAAATCATGTAAAAATAATTCTTCTTGTAATTTTAGAAGTAAAATCACTAATTAAACTTGTAAAGCCCATTCCTCCAAAAGTTCTATAGTTACATAGCGAAAATAATATTATAATATAATAATCATTCATAGGAATTCAACACGGTTCAACATACTTCAATGAGGCCCTACGAGTGTTCACAACATCATATAGCTATATACCTCATAACAATGCAATACATAAATGTGAACATTGTGTCCAATGACTTTGGTGGTGCACGTGCAATTTCAACATACTTCGGCGTACAAACCCCATTGTTAGGTACTGAACTTCTATACATGGTTGGTAAGTAATACACAGCCATCACACATGATCATATATGATATTTGTGAATCACTACACAGATATAGCTCGCATGGGCCTCACACAGATAACGACCCTCCCAATTGGCCAATCACATATAGCCCATGTTTTAGCTCCATTTTTTTCAAAATGCATTTTTTACTATTCTCTTTTTAATTACACATTCTTCAATAAAAATAATATTACACATAAACTCAAAATTCCTCCTTTTTTAATCACACATTTTATTTTATTTTTTAAAAAAATTACCATTCCAAAATATATTTTTCCCAAAAATATATTAAATGGAACCCAAATAGGGGCATAATACTCACACATGATTGTATATGACATGCATGAACTCCACCATACATATAATAGCTCATATGTGTCTCACACATCTTTTGGCCACACGAGTAAGGATGCCCTTTAGTACACCATAAAGTGCTCCTCAAACCAACATATAGCAAGTCATATAATATAATGATACATGATATAACCAGGGCCGGTCCTGTGATCGGCGGGGCCTGAGGCGAAGTCCGAAAATTGGGCCCCCGGTGATCAACGTAAACGCAAAATCCAACCGTGCATTATGCAACGTATTATATAAGCCTAAAAGACTTAGCCTAAAATATCTAATACCCAATACTTAGCCTAAAAGACAATTACAAAATATCTCAATTATCTCACAATTAAAGTATTCAATACAGTGACTACGTGCGCCTGTGCAATTGATCCTACACACTACAATGAACATTCATACAAGCCGACAAGGCCACAATTATATAAGCCGACAAGGCTTCAAACATTTTCAATATCAAGTTAGAGCAAGCCTGCTTACTTGAGAGATAGAAAATCCACGAAAATTGTGGAATCCAGCGTTGCATCTCAGTTCTCACAAGCCTGAAATTGAATCATGTTCAAATCATGAAGAACGGTAAAGCTTTTACAAAACAAAATAAGTATGTTCAAAAGTGTTCAACTAAATTAGCATTATAGCATATGACCTTGTTGCCCTCACATTTTCACATCCTTAATCTTTAACTAAATCCAATAATTCGAAGCTAAACCTTTAATAAAATGTAAACTTAAAGATGAATAATGAAAGAGACAAGTAGTTAATTAGGTGTGTAAAATCGAGGAAGAAGAACTCAAACCAAGATCCTATCTTAACAGATCAAAACAACTCTGATCTCATCGCTTGACTCCTAGTACCGATCTTGTTCCACCATAGGAAACAGGACCCACTCAATTTCCCAGTAAGCAGATAAAACCCCCAAAAGTTCAAATTATCCCCCTACTCAGATAACTACAACAAATCCTTGCAATTTATCCATAAAAATTAGTTCCTTTTTTTGCTTTGACCTATGAGAAGTTCAAAGATGTGCTCAGGCGTTTAAATTTCATCAGAAGGATTTCAAAAATTAGTTCCTTTTTTTACTTATTAAGCTCTGATTTTGCTCACTCAAGTACTAATAGATTTCGTATATTTGGATTTCAGCTCATATATTTGGATTTCACTCTTCAATCAGCCCAATGCAATTCGGAACTCGCCCAGAACATATTATCAAATTGATAAACATATCTATAAGGAAAATCCGAAAATGATAGAAGTGTTTAAATAATTAAATGGTATAAAAAAATGGTAGAATGCTGCCCACCGCCCACAGCCCACTTACCAGTTACCAGCAGAACTCCAGAACCAGAAGACGCCAGTTGCAGACCCAGACTACCAGCAGGAAGCAGTCGCGGGCGATTGGGAAAGGATTAAATGAATCGCAGTCGCCGGAACTTGAAAGGGAAAGGATTAAAGGAAGGAAGAAGAAGAGTGGGAGACTGCACTGGAAAATACCACCGGCGTTGGCGTGAAGAACGGTTGGATTGGATTTGGTGGATTCTTGGAGAGTTTGAGCGTTGCGAGCGGGAAGGAGACGGGAGTGCTGTGAGCCAGAGCCTGTGATGGTTTTGTTACTATTGTAGTTTAGGTTACTGAAAAAAATCAATGGGCCAAAATTTTTAGGGCCTCAGTGTTGGGCCTAATAAAAAAAAAAAAAAAAAAAAAGTGGACCAAAAAAATGGCCCCAAACCAATTTGGGCCTCAGTGTTGGGCCTAATATAAAAAAAAAAAAAAAATGGGCCAAAAAATTAGGCCCCCTCCAATTTTGGGCCTGAGGCGGTGGCCTCACTTGCCTCGCCTCAGGGCCGGCCCTGGATATAACATATATATATCTATGATATGTAGCATGACATTGCGCTTCTTGAGATCACCAAGTGACATGCCATATGAACTCAATATCACAATATTCGGTAATCGATGTCATATAATTTTGTATAACCTACAAAGAATATCAAATGAATCTAACACCAATTAATATCAAGAGTAAATCATGTAGATGTAAGCTTATCGATTTTGTATTGGGAT